CGGATGAGAATATTCGAACAGGACTGTATGAAGTGGCTACGCAGATTGGAATCGATAGTCCCCTGGGTTGGTTTCATGGTTGATCCACGGGGCTCGGACCTGCGGGAGTGCTTACTGTGCCGCGGCACTCTCTCTCCCGCCGCGTCCTGTTCGTGTCTGCTGTCCTTAATACTAGTGATACCATCATCTTCAACACACATACCCTCTAGAGTGTATCCCTCTAGGGAACCCGTGCTGGAGATGAATGGCGCCGATGTTGCAGCAGAGGCTGCCGACGTCACCACGAGTACGCAGGGCAGAGTAGATAACCTGGAGAGAAAACTTTCAGGCCTGACGGACGAGGCACAGCAGCTGCCAGGGCCTCTCCGAGGCGCCCTCGGAAATTTTGAGAATGAGGGGGAGTCCGGCGGCGCTAGGGCGGGCGCTGTCGTCATGGGCACTACGTCTGCCCGCGGTCTGCTGGAAGAGGGGCCGCACAACGACGGAATCACGCCGCTTGCACAGCACGAGGGAAGAAGCACCAGACCGGGAGCCAGCCTGGTAGTGCCAAGGATCCCTGCTGGAGTGGACCCGGGCATAGGACCGGGCAGCGGGGAGGTCATGGGGTCATCATCCCAAGAGCAGCCTGCTGCGGTGGGCGCTTACATAGACTACGCGGCTGCAGACGAGATCATCAGCAGTAGGCCGGTTGCGGAAGGCGAACCGGTGTGGGCATTTCAGGTCCCTGCTATTGGTGGGTTTGGTTGATTCCAGAACACCGAATACCTCTACAAGATAGGCAGCGATGGTACAGATGCAGCCGCCGCTCGAGGCACTGGCCGAAGGGTCAGAGCAACGTAATCATCACGTCGAGAAGAGCTGTGCGGCGCTGGAGGGAGTGCCGCAGACGGCACACCAAGTGTGCCTGTTGACCGCGGGAAAGTGTTCTAGAGAGCTGGGGCATCATGCATCCCCGCGACGCCGTCGGTGTGCCATCAAAAAAACCAGCGCAGGCCACTGCGCGCGCACCATCCACACGCAGCAGCAGCAGCAGCAGGAGATGGTGAAGATGGCACCATTACAGCAACGTGGAAGGGTCAAGACACAGAAAGCCGGCCGCAATGTGCCCATAGCCGCGACGGAAGGGGCGTGGGGGGGCAATGTTCAGAGAATACGGCGTGTGGCGTGGGGGGGGGGGGGTAC